GGGGGGGGGGGGGGGGATTTAGCATGCCACCTTACAACCACTTTTTGTTGCTGGAAACCGTACTCAACGTACAATGACCGGCCAAAAATGCCTCTTGACCCGTACCGGTCACTTTTTTACCACACCTGGTCATTTTGACCGGTCATATTTCCATGCCTTCCAGTGATTGCTGACATCTTGAATTAAAACATGAAACTGTAATGTATCGAAACAAGTTTCTAATAGTTTGTTTCACTGTTAGTGTAAGCGTATCAATGAGCGATCAAAAACAGATTTTGACCGAGCTAAAATCAGTTGACATTGAATGCCCATGTATGTATATCGTATGAAATTACCATCAGCCTTCAGTTCAGTGATATTATTCTGATGTTCGTAAAGAAGGTGTTTCACTTTCTGTTTATAAACTTTAATTTCAACTTGATGTCTCTCTTCTGCCTCCTCCATCTCTCTGTCTCTATTCCTCAACTCAGCTTTCTTTTCTTCGAGCTGTTTTTTCGTGATCTCCCAGAACGTGTTCACTTTATCGCGTTCCAGTTGGAAGTAATTGCGTTCTTCGCGCTCTCGGTCCAGTTCCTCGCGAAGACGACCTATGTGCTCTTCAAGCTGGTTAAAGGGAGAAAATCACATCAAAATGTTTTACAACACAGACTCATTTATACCTCGATCTAGCCTCCTCCACACGCATTTCTATGGGTTTTAGCCTACGAATGGGTGTTCGGCAAAATTTATTTTCCGACCATCTGATTCCGCAACCTCGTTCCTAGGGTCTTCCCTGGGAACGAGGTTGCTGATTCCCATGCCGGATATGCCTGTGGACGAGGCTAACCTCTATCAGGTCTTGAAATAAATCTGGAAGGTATATCGGTCATCTTTTGTTTTCCTCATTTGATAATTACGCCTGTATTCTAAAAGCTCACTCACGCTCACTCAAAGAGTGGAAGTTCAATCTGAGCTTCTCTTGAGTGTCAGTGCTGTTTTTGAATACCGGGATGGTTAGTGTCATACCTTACTATGTGACTACTCACCCTCCAGCTATTCAAAAACAGCATTGACACTCAAGGGATGCTCAAATTAAACCTCCACTCTTTGAGTGTGAGCGTGCTTTTAGAATGCAGGCGTTATTCTGAAGAAAATGCTCACTTTCTTGGCGACTAGAAAAATTACAAATGTCGAAAAGAGAAATTCTTGTATTACGAAGTTTTGTATAAAATATGGTCTTAATTATTGCTAATTGAAACTTTTCAAATTGGAGTGGACATCCACTTATCACGTTTGCTAATCTGGATTAGCGCAAAACATCCAAGCTAATGCAAGTTGAGATGCACAAAATATTATAGATCGCCCAACTCTGGGCATGAACTCTGGGGAAATCCGGAAATGCAATGTTAAGAATAGTGTGCTGCCAGGGTGCGATAATTCGCGTACTTACGTACCGGAGGTACGCCAATATTACACTTATTACGGTCTGGTACTTCTTTGTTTTCAGGCAGGTACGTGGAACTCTTGCTATCTGCGTACTTAGTTTTTGCTGGTATCACAAGACTTCCAAGCCCAAGGTATTCAATATCGTAATTTAGTTGGTTTATCATGTGTCTGGGATGTCGTGGCATGAAACATGATTGGACTGATCGATGGGACTAAGAAACGTTGGAGTCGATTGTTTGTATATGCAATTGTGCTTCTTTTTCTATCTCGTAATTTGAACGCACTTTGCAGAAACCTGTGCTTTATGAACCTTATTTTAAAGACTAAGTACACATTGAGTATGAGTTTGTTCTAGCTCAAGTACGCGGCAACAAGCCAACAACCATTGGCGTACCAGTCAGGTACGATTAGAAATCTTGAATGATCGCACCCTGTTGCTGCCTTATTAAGCTTGGCTGTAGTAACTAGTTAGTATACTTTACTATTTTGTGGCATAAATTGGAAACTATGAAAATTTCGGTAAGCATCAGTATGCTAAATATTTTCTTTTTATTTCACAAGCAAACTATTTTGAGCCATACTTGTTCCTTGGTCATTTCTTCAGTACTGATGCCATCAATAATGGTGGCACTTTTCGGTTTTGCGGACTTTTTCTTCCCTCCTTTCTTAGCTTTTGGTGGCTAGATGAAGTGAGAGATATGTAGTGTTATCAAGCCTGAAAATCTTCTTTCATGGGTGCCTGGACACTTTGTCAGCCGCCAATTGGGTGGTGTATGATGCTTCTCAGTTAGTGACGGACATCGCAGCCATATTGTAATATTATATACAGCAAGTAGGCACAGATGACGGTGAATATTACTTTATATCTGTAGATATACTCATTGTCCAATATAAAGCTCTCTATGTAGGGCACAGCACCATCACAGAATAGAGACATACAGAAGGTCTTGCTGACACCATGGTCCTAGTCAGGGTGTTAGCCAGGTGGCCGTCCAGCCACTTCTGAATTTGGACGGCTAAATTTTAATGGACGGCCATGGATGGCCTAAGGGAATATTTTCTTTAAATAGCAACCTACAAGCTTTGTAATATTTCTCGAATACTTCGCGCCATATTTTTGTAACCATTTTGATGATTCTCGCATGAAGTATCAAGGAGAATGTGAAACCGCTGTTTTAAAAAACAGCAATCGCTTTATCGCCACGTTACAGTTACGGATAAAACACCACAATTCTTCAACAACAGAAAATTGCGGCCACGCCCAAAAACATGTGACCACACCCACAAAAATATGTTGCCACGCCCACAAAATTATTTTGGACGGCCACTTATGAAATCCTGGCTAACACCCTGGTCCTAGTGCACTAGTCTTATAACTATAAGAGGCATTCGCCCCCTGAAAATGGCTTGGACCATGGCACAGAATAGACACACAGAAGGTCGACTCAGCCAAAATAGTGTAACTGCTGCCACGCCATGATTTGAGAGAGAGAGAGAGAGAGAGACTTTATTTATAGAGGATGGCACTTGACAGTACGAATACCGATGACTCTGTGGTCCTCTGGAAACCTATGTGCCTAACCCACAAAAAAATGAAACCTATGTGCCTAACCCACATAAAAATGTTGATGCCATGGTCCTAACCATCTGCCATTTTGAATATTAGGGGAGTGAATGCCTCTCATAAGCACACTGGCTAGAACCATGGTGCCAGCATTTTGATGATGAATTACAGTAACAGCAAAATCATAGGAACAAGAAGTCGGGCTTCTGTGTAGTCTCTATTCTGTGACCATGGCATCAGCATTTTGATGACAAATCATTGCCAATCATGGTGTGGCAGCAATCTGTGTGTCTCTATTCTGTGGCATCATATTTCCCAACTTGTTGTCTCAGAGTAGATGCATATACAGAGTTATAACTAGTGTACCCACTTTTTTTGTGTGCATGCTCGGCAAGTTACTAGATGCACGCATCTCATTGGATGGTGACTGATCTGATGGTGATTGGGTCCTGATGATGAATGAATCTTAGTTGAAAGGCAGAATGATTAAAATGTTTATTTTCGGAGTTATCGTTGTTTTATATTATATTAAAATACTCAGTGGTTCCCGTAATCATTGGATGGCGACTCGCTTTAACTGCTCGCGGAATTTGCCGAACATGCGCAGTTGATTCGGTCGCCTGAAAAAAGTGGGTACATGAAAACGTAAGTTTCGGCAGTGTTTACAATGACCAGTTCCAGCTCTGTATCTATCTACTCTGTGTTGTTGTGGTATAAAAAATATATACTAATATAAAACAAAGCTGACAAAGCAATGAAAGCATTTATAAAGCATGCACCCACCAAAATATAAACATTATAGATCAAGACTATATGTATAGAAACGTCCTTGAACTACATTGTAATAATTAGGCTGGGTAATTTCTTCGTCTGAGTACAGCTTACAGCAATTTTAACATAAAACATGAAACAAAACCACACAAGTTACAAATCATAATAAATTTCATAGTGATCGGACGGTTTCTAAACCAAATTCTCCCTCAGAAACTCCATTTATATTACGAATAACACACTCGCATTACTCCTGAAACGATAAACTTACCATTTTGTAGATTTATACGCGAAAACAGCGAAAATTCAAAATAAAAACATAAAGTGTCTCTCATTCGATTTTCATCATGATTGTTTGAGACCGTTGCTAGGAGACAACAACGAACACAAAAACCCGGATGCCAAGACAATGGCCAAGACTCGTACCCAGATCCTCTAGATCAAGTGGCGTGTTTTCTTGAAAATTGGAAATTCTAGAAAAATGAAATTCTATACACAGTCACAGAGACACAGTGGAGAAATTTTCGAGTTTCTAGTGTCGAAAGGACTAATTCCGTCACGGTCCTGTGATCGAAACGTTGTATTGTCTTTTCAAATTTTCATTGTTTCAAAAATCTCACGAGGCCAGTCACTCATTGACCTCATTGCTTTCACGTATTTTTGATGTTATGCTTGCTACAGAAAGCATTTATACGGTCATTTAAAGATGAACAGTGGCTGACAACCATGACAACATTATCTTTTGTCATGTAAAACTTCATATGTGTCAAAAGCATTTGAGAAGTTTTCGACTTTTTTCACACTGATTTGCGAAACTAACTAAAACATTCAATTGCTCTTGACTAGCCTGAGTATCAGATACTTTGGCTAGCTCTCGACAAACATGAAAATTTCACGTGAGAAAAGACAATGTTTGTTGAATGTCCACGCTTAGATACAAACGACGGTAACCCTAAATAATGCATAAATTATCAGTGAGACAGAAAAATTATGCATAAATGCGCACTTTATAAAAATTTTGTTGTGTAATTATAAAGTACATAATTACAAGCTCATGTGACATTCTTTCGGCTATTTTCCCAAATATTTGTCTGAACAACAGTCTCTAAACTTCATCACGACAAAAATGACAAAAGTAGCGTGTTTTTTAATCCTGGTCGCTCTAGTTTTTGGCCAGATTAAAAGCGAGAGTGCGGTGTTTCGTTTTGCAAATGTGTTTGGTAGCCATATGGTGTTGCAGCAAGCACCAAAGCGCGCAAGTATCTGGGGCTATGGCGAAGTCGGCCAAGAAGTGGTAGTTATATTTTCCGGGGATATGTATCGTTCGTTTATTATTGAAAAAACTGAGGGTAATGATAATGTAGTAGATGTTTTATAGTTTTTGCAAAAACTTAATATCAAAGTAATATTAAATGTAGTACTAATTTGGTGGCACATTGCAGCTCATAAATATCTTGTATTTTTATAGGTAAACAAAGTGTAGGAATATGGACTGTCATGCTCATACCAACCATGTTTGGTGGTCCCTATTGTATCGAAGCACATTCAATGGTTAACGGCACAATGACGACCATCACTTTGGACGATGTCATGTTTGGTGATGTTTGGATTTGTAGTGGACAGAGCAACATGGAGTTTACTGTTGTTATGGTATATTAATTAAACTAAACAAACCTTATTTATACTTCCCCCCAAGAGGTCCAGTAAATGTCATCGTATTCTTGGATCTGACTTAATGTCATCAATTTTCCGAATAGAAATTTTCATGCTCTGAAAATTTATATAGTCTATACCCAAATATCAGGATGAAAAATTGATGATGTTAAGTTTGAACATTGAATTGATCAAGTGTTGCTACCAGGATGAAACCTAAACTAAACTTATGCTAGATAGCTCCCCAGAAGGCTATCAGGCAAACTTTGGCTGTAGAGATGAAATCGCACCATAAACAATTTCTGAGTTAATTTCAAATACATGTATGAGATTTAATATAATTTTATCTTGTAGTCTGATAATGGGGCAAAAGCAATTAACGAGTCTGCACATTATCGCAACATTCGTATATTCACTGCGGAGCTTGATTGTGAAACGACTCCACAAATAGAATTGAAAAAAGTCAGATTGCCATGGTCCAGGCCATCTCCAGGTATGTGTTGGAACATGTTTATATATATTAGGTATACTCCCCTGTAATCTTGAAGTCCCCTATCAACAGTTCCCTTCCTTTTCTCCCACCCAGAGACAGTAGGTGGTGCTGCCTGGCGATATTTCTCAGCAGTGTGTTGGTACTATGGTATACAGTTGTACGAGGAGTTGAGGTACCCAATTGGTTTGGTCGCCACAACATGGGGTGGTACTCCAGTGGAAGCATGGTCGTCACCTGATGCTTTGGCAACTTGTGGCATCAACAAAACAGCAAAAATTGTGGATAACAGAAAGTAATCATGTATCATTCATAAATTACTTTATTATATAGTAGAGTGTGAGATACTGAAAAATACACAGCGAGATATTTTCCATATCTTCACTAGTGAAGATCAATATCAATCACATGACTTTTCCAATTTGCTTTTGAGTGTGAAATTTCACAATTTTTTGCTTGGGACTGTATAATATTACAGAACATTACTGTACACCCATTAATTAGTTCCAACTTCCACCCGAGAAATCACAAGTTAGAAAAAGAAAAATTCCGCTCGATCCGCATGCAAAACTCCGCCTAGTGGAAAACTGGCTTTACAGTAAGTTGTTATGCTGAGATTGCTGACAGACAAACACATTGACAGACACACACAAACACAGTTACACAGACACACACAACTACAAATACAAACACACACAAACACACACACAGATGAAAACATAACCTACTGGCGGGAGTAATTATAGTCAGACAACTGTGTATTGTTAACCTGGAACCGAACTGCAATCTCATTTATGGCACATCAAACTAACCATGCACGAGAGCCTGTTCGCAGGCTAAACCATGCGCGTGTGTCACCGACATCCCAATATCGCAAGCCCTGAGCATTTGAAGACAAAATTCAAAAAGAGAAAAGGCAGGTTGGCAAATTTTTGAGAGATGGAAAACAAAACCGGAACAGTAAAAAAACAGAGGAAAAGACAAATGGGCAAACCAGTTAACAAAGAAACAAAACGCACAACAATAATTTTGAATTTAATTCCCAGGTTTGAAACAAAAGATCTGCACTTAAACGGACCACGTAATCTGAGCTGTCTTTGGAATGCAATGATCGTTCCTTTCCTCAATATGACCATATATGGCTCAATCTGGTACCAGGGAGAGGCAAATGCTCAAGAACCATTGTATCCATATAACTGTACATTCCCTGCTATGATTGACGATTGGAGAGCAAAGTGGTATCTCTCAACACAGCATAATACTGATCCGATGTTTCCCTTTGGTTTTGTTCAGGTGGGTATTTACTGTAGTCTGTAGAAGACGTCCGGAAAATAAATGAGTTTCGTTAGGAACCATATTGCGCAGCAGATGGTGGCGTCTTCCTTCAACGAATTGATCTGCGAAGAGTTATTTCTCATTCGACACACACACACGTTATCAGACCTGGAAAAAGTGTTCAATGTTCATCGGATCCTGAATTTGCCTTTTTCAAATGTTCCTCAATTATATTGGTTGTAAGATTGCTGAGGAAACAAACCAATCTTCAAATTCTATTGACAGGATATGAAGAACACTTCGCAATCTCAAAATCGACTCAAATGGCAGATAACTATTAAATATGATGTTTGCGATGTTACTCTGAGTGTATATCCACACTGGACATGCTTGAAAAATATGATTCTCAACTATAAATTCTCCCTTAAGGCTAAAACTCAGTTAAAGTACGCGTGAAAAATTCAAAATGTTCCTCAATCTTGTTGCCAAGGCAAATGTTCCTCAGGATCCAGGATCCCGAGATCCCACTTTTTTCCAGGTCTGCAGGTTATTTGGAGGAAAGTTAATTTTCGTGCTCCCATAAGTATCGACAGTTTTGTAGTTGACCTCCATAGGTCCATATGCTGCCCATGCAGTGTAACGCTTACCGTTGAGTTGTGGTAGATTCATCTACTGGAGTTACGGCAATATTACGATCTGGTTTTCAGCCAAATACCACGACAAAATTTTGTTTCTGCGGAAAATTTTCCTGAGTGGAAATGGGTCCACGTATTTATTGAGTCAATGTAATAAAAATGCCATTTCAAACTTTCAGCTTTCAGCAGTCGGCGACAGCGCTAAAAGCCATCCCAATTTCCCCCCTCTCCGCTGGGACCAGACAGCGCAATATGGCTATGTCCCCAATGATAGACAGAAGAGAGTCTTTATGGCAGTCGCAATGGATCTTGGGAACCTCAAGTCACCCTATGGTAGCATACATCCAACTGATAAAACAGATGTGGGAAATCGTCTGGCATTAGCTGGACTAGCTATAGGGTATGGTAGAGAGACATATTACACTGGACCACTGGTATCTACCATCAAGAAACAGACACAACCACCAAGCATGGCTCTCCAAGTCACCTTTAAGTCTTTAAATGGGGAAATTGAAGTGAGAAGTGATGCTGGGTTTGAGGTATTTTTCAATCTTTTGTAGATTCTGAATTCGTATTTATTAAATTTAGTATAGAAATTATCACAGGACACAGAATAACAATTATACTAGGCAGAGTAACAATAGGACACGAAGTCCCTTAGAAGGTTGAGTTGTAGCATAGTTAATATAATTATATTAACTATGGTTGTAGTCAAGGTTGTAGTCTGACTACAAAATACTTTCACCAGTTTCGTCCTGTATTGGTGTCGACAATAACCCTTACTGAACCTCCAGTTACATGCTAGAACTGCTAGAGGTATCCAGTATAAATGCAGTTAGTTTAGTTTAGGTTTCCTCCTGTGATAACACCAAGCCAAGATTCGAAGGGTGGCCCTTACTGGACCTCTAGGTAGAACAGTTTAAAACTAATAGAGCTGTCCAGTATAAATTTAGCTAGTTTAGTTGTCAATGCCTTTGGCTGATTCGAAAACTAGCCGCCACAATTTTGCATTATTTTATATTTTATGCATTACCTGGCTAATATAATTTCTTCAACTGGGACTTCTATTTAATTAAGCCCTTTGAAATGTACACAAGCACCAAAACGAGGCTAGTCGGTATTTTTAACATTTAATTTCTCAAAGAGAATATGGTATCATATTTAGACTTTGTAAAACTGTTAGTCTTGAAGTAATCTATAAGGCGGCAATGATTATCTTGCTTGAAATTAATTTTCGGACGAAAAAAGATTGACAACTATTGTTCGATCTTAACCAATCACAGACGTGTTACCATTAACCAATTAAATGCTACTATTCGTGATTTTCAGGTTATATAAATCACCTAATTGCTGTTCAAATTTCCAGGTTCATTGTGAAAATAGTACTAGTTGGGTGGATGCACCAATTGTCGACCATGGTCCAGTGTCTGTGATTATTATGCCGAGATCAACAGATTGTGTTGCTGATAAAGTCAGGTACGCGTGGAGTGACTACCCCTGCCCCAAGCTGAAGTGTGCTATCTATAGTGGGGGTTTACCATCCCCACCGTTCATAATGGATGGTCCTTTTGAGGCGGCACAGAGCTCACGGCTTGAAAAATTACTTGAACTGTACGTTTGAGAATTCGGACTGATTCAAAATTTCAACTTTCTATATAATCTCCAGATATCAAACATTTTCATAACTGCATAAATTTATAATACTTTTGAGTTTTGTTTGTGGAAACACCATGATTTTATCGCCATGCAAACCTACAAAGAACTTCTCATCAATTTCATTTCTACAGACTTTATATCTGATTCAATTTTTTATTCGCAAAATTATTAATTCAATTAGGAATTTTATAGGAAATAAGTTAATGACAAGAGTTAAATTAAGGTGGTTTAAATCGTCAAAGACGGACGTGAATTTTGGTACATTAGCAGAGAATTGTGGACATAAAATGTAATATAATGTGTTTTTAATAAAATAAGTGAATTTTCAAAAATATTTATAAGATTGAGTGATTGACAGAATAGTTTAATTAAAAAGTTTGTTTTGGAATCAATATAGTATACTACATTAATATCTGTTGAACACGAGGAACAAGGAAGATATTTCAAGGCGCGGTTATCTACTTACGGGAAAAAGTTCAATTGAACAGAAAAATGGCAATGTTGTTATCTTGGCGTTCTACTCAAGTGAATACTATAGTTTATGGCGGCCGTTAATGTCACTTTTTAAACCTTTTGTCTTACGAGTGGTTGATTAAAGTAAGCTTTCATCAAAATCAATAGACTCTTCCAGAATTTGCTTGATAGCCAGGTGATCTCGTGTTTGTATTTTAGCCAATCAGCGCTCAGAAAGGGTTGTCCGAATAGAAATCCCTTTTGATGTATTCAGTCAATTATATCTTTCGTTATTCTTTATGAAACTAGTTGAAATTTTGTAATTATGTTTGGTTATGAGAACTACAGCTCTGACAAAAATTTGGAATCGAAGTAAAGTATATTACAGGAGATATTCAGTTGTTTTAATCATAAAATGGATTTCTATTTGACAACTAGTGCCAGTACTTTTCCGCGTATCAAGATCACCTGGAGTGTGGGTCATATTTTGACCTCGGCTCCAGCTCTTTCTGGCTTGCGCGTGTGGAAGTGTTTATGGACCGAAATAGAAAATCACCGCTGTAGTTATCGAAAGATAGATTGCTTACTGCAAACAAAATGGATATAACCGTATCATCGGTTATATCCTCATGTCTCGCGCACAATAGGACTTACCCTGGTTGCCAGAGGTTCTGTATCTTATACAGAACCTCTGGCAACCAGGGTAAATAGGACTAGGCTTGTGATTATTATTACATGGGTTATTATCAAACAGAAATACATTCCAATGCGAAACTTGAGTGAATATACAGTGGCGAAGCTGGCCATGGCAACTGGTCATGCTAGCTAATAAACCTACATCTACATATAGGTTAAAGACAATACATTTCTAAAGGTTTCAATAATGCATTTACTGATTGAATAATGCAAATACTGATTAAACATTTGCATAACATGACCTGTCTCTATGGGTAGCTTCGCCTCTGTGAATAGTAAAGTTGCTGTGCTGAGTGGTTATATCACTACCTGAAAAAAACAAGCAGAAACTCTACGTTTCGAGCGAAGGCCCTTCGTCAAGAGTTAGTCAGCTTGACAAAGGGCCTTCGCTCGAAACGTCGAGTTTCTGCTTGTTTTTTTTTTACAGGTAGTAATATGACCACTTTGGTACTACCCACACTGGTACAGACAGTTTCTGTGAATAGTACCCTGTTATGTCACCCATTAACTTTTATTCCAGTTTTAATCAGGCCGTACAGGTAAATTTCGATTGTGATCGCGAAGCCGTTAGCATTGCCACAATGTTCAACACTGTATTTTCAAGTACGCATTCAGCCGTTCATTACACATTAGCACCACTAAATTAGTTAATTTTAGTCCTCGGCACCGTCCAGCAATGATTCACTAATTGACAAGTCCCAGTAATGTTCAACGCCGTATGTTTTAAGATACTCTCTTGCGGCAGCCTCGTTTGTACATGTTTTTAATTTAAAGTCTGTAAATCTTCGCTGTTTTTCCGTGCCCTAAAATAAAAGCAGAATGGATTTATCACTGCTGCCTGGCTGACCAGCCGACTGTCTCATTGACTGGATAACCGACTGGCCAACTGAATGACTGACCAGCTATAACAAACTAACTCCAACCAACCGACTGCCCAACCAAGTGACTGGCCGACCAATAAACCGACGGCCCAACCAACCGACTGCCAGATCGGCCGACCAACGCCCGACGAACAATCCGATCGACTAACGAACTGACTAACCGGCTGACCGACCGACAAAACTGTAGCCTGCTGCCTGATCCAAATTCTTGGACTATATGTTATACCCACGCAGTGTAGCATGTTATGACTGTGCACATTGTTAATTTAAAGAAACTATGCTTACCTCCCAAACAAGACGACAAAAGTTTTGCGCTGTTTTGTCGCCTTCATCGTCCGAGTTCGCATGTTTTTTGGAGCCCTCAGACCACTTTATTCTGTTCAACATGAGTCGACGGAATTTCTTCTGGGCTTTTGCTCCACCTTCGACAATAACTAGATTCATGTCTCGTAGTAACACCACACAACCTATACAGTGAAGGAAGTTCTTCAAGAAATCTTATATATGCGTGGTTTCTTATATATGCGTGGTTTTCACCTTACCTTGCAGCAAACATGGCGAAAATATCTTTGCATCTCTGAATATTGGTTGCACGCCTCATGTTGTACATTAGATTAACTCAACTACTTAACTGTAACGGCTAAAGTAAATTTTGGAATCAACAACATGGCGTCATTGAACGTTTATTTGGTGAGAAAATTTAACTTAAAGTTTATGTAAATCAGCATGATTCTGTTATCAGATATACAAACTTCTTCGCGCTCATATTTCTTTTGTGTTTTCTTCAAAAATTATTGAGTTTCACAACTTTGTACTAATAGGTATAGTTAATTATATAACTCACAATAAGTTATAAGTAATAAGTTTTGTCTAACTTATAAAACTTAAAACTTATAGTAACATTATAGGTAGAAACTTATAGACTTTATTTTTAACGCCACCAGCATTACCTGTCATATACAACTGCCTGGCATTAACGTCCACTTTATATTGTTTTTGAGGGTGATGTAAATCTTTGACTTGGTATAAACTAACATGAACACCCAGGCTTGTATCTTCGTTCAGTTTACGCATCGTTTTCTCTCGTCTTGCTTTTGGTGTCAGCTTTCTCGCTTCGTTTGCCGCTTCGTGAGCTCTGCAATGTATTTGTAATAGAAAGTGATGAATATATGCGAGAATTTTAGTAAGATATTTGATACGGTGCTAGGGCCTAGGGTATGGGTGCAATGAATCACACCTTTTTCTTGTTAAACGTGTGATCATTTTTTCATTCCGAATACACTTAGCCGTTCATTAGAGAGGTTTCGATTTTGACTTCAACTTCAAACGCACAAGTTGTAACAAATCTGCAGCAGACTTGTAACAACGCTGTTCCAACAACTTGTCAACAGGATGTGTTCGTCGCACTGCTTGTTTCCAGCTTGTTGACAAGTTGTGAACGGCATGTTGACAACTTGTTACAAGGTTGTTGAGCTCAACAGAGGCATGTGGCAAGGTGTGATCGACAGTTATGGAAGTGAATAAATGAGGCATAATTCTTTAATTATAAGTATTTTCCACCAAACACGTATTGTGAACTACTTAGTCACTGCGGTAATCGCCTGATACTCAGCAACTGCCTCAGTTTCACAACACATCCTGGAAAATTTTTCTTTCCCATTTGTGATTATTGGGAATCACAGTACCTCTGACGCTGCGCCATTTGAGCGCGTACATGTGCTTCCACTTTGGTCGGATCTTGTACAGCCTCGCTACCAAGAACTCTCATGAGGTTCGAAATTTTCACTAAATGAAAGATAGTACGTTGGCTTCAAAAAAACAACTTGAGATAACTGCATAACGCTAGATGAAACACGAGTGTTCAATTAAAACATTAATTTGGTTGCAAAGATCACCTTGGTTCCCTCCCGTCTCTTACACAAACAGACCCTAGCTGAGATTGCAATCTTCAATAGTCTGTGCTGGTGTCAACCTCGTTCCCCAAGAGGGAATACTCTGGGAACGAGGTTGCATGTGCCGGTGTAGGTAGGTCCAATAATAAGAAAGCTTCGGATTGATAGGGATGCAACTACCTGAAAACCTCAAACGACGTTTCGAGCGAAGGCCCTTTGTCTGGTCGTGCTAACTTCCCAACGAAGGGCCCGCTCGCAACGTCGAAGTTCTCCTTGTATTTTTCAGGTAGTTGTATCCTTATCAATCCGAAGCTTCCTGAAATTGTAAATAAGTCGAAGTTGCGTATTGTCTTTATCAGCCATTCAGCGAGGGACTCTATCATTTCTTTTCGCTTAACGCTAGACCAGGGAGATGTTTTGCTGAGGCGGAGCGTCACACTTGCCGTCAGTTCCCAGTAACATACAGCACAGTCTAGTTTTACCTGAAACCGTGCTACTCATGCCTTTCGATCTCCAGGTGAATCCTCTACCGACTTATCTATCCGCGGAGATTGTAATGCCTGTGAAACAGGAAGCTAGGGGAAATAACACACCTTTCGGGGGAGGTGGGGGTTCGAGTCCCAGTCGGATCTTCTCCTGTTTTTCCGTCTCAGCTTCTCTCCGTCTTTGCGTGCGCATCTTCTTACGTTCCTTCTTCGTCAACATCATGGGCACCACAGGAGCTTCTTTTGGTTCCGCTACAAGGTAGAGTGAAGATTTTAAAGACAATCAGCTAACGTATATGTGTTCATGATCGCTTCAACGAACATGAGCATGGGAAATGCAGGGACCTGGTCCTCACTACGACATAAGCAGAAGACGCTTTGATGTTTTTATGCTCGTGTTGTTCTCACTGTGTGAGGAAAAGGACACAAGGAAAAGAGCGCAACGTTTTGATACTCTTTTTTCATGCTTGTGTTACGTCGTAGTGAGGACAGTACATAAGAAATCAATACGTTTGATCCGTCTTAGGCCCTGGTCAAACGAGAACGAGAGTTGAGAAACGAGAGTTTGCATCAGAGTTTTCTCAACTCTCGTGCCCCGGTCAAACCATCATCAGTCTTTCTATTACACGCGTAAAAATTGAGAAAATCAACAACTTGTTCAAAGGTTGATACCAACAGGCGCGAACAAGGTCGTGCGACCCACCATAATGAACAGTATTGTCAACATGTTGTTACAGCATTGTTCAACTGTAACAACTTGGAACAACATGGTTGACAACTTGTTCGTAGTTGACCGTACAACCTGTGCGTTTTTAGCCGTGTAACTATGGTCAAACGAGAACAAGAGTTGCACGAGAGTTGACTGGATATTACCGCGCGCGTAGCGAAAACTCTCATCAAAATTTGAACCAGTTCAAAGTCAACGAGAGTTGATCAGAGTGCATAAGAGTCGATGAAAGTTGGCAGTCAAACGCGAGCGAGAGTTGGCAGTCAAACTCTCATCCTCGTTGACCGAGGCTTTATACTTGTACCTATGCTTGCGTCGTAGTTAAAGCAAAGCTTCACAGAGTGGAGTTTTGCCACTACTGCAACTTGTAATCCGACCCCTTTATGGTGTACCAACCTGGCGGATGACTTTGTACAGGGTGTTCAATATAGGACGTCAATCCTTGCAGATGCTTTGGTTTGTCCTGTTCGGTGAGCGCCAGATATGTTTCATACTTCATGTTGGGCATGACTGCAGCGTCCCACCACTCGACCGCCGGGATTGTGTCTTGCTGTAGTTCCTTGCTGGGGGTAATCAAGGCTAACTTGGTTGCTGATGAGATCCCAGTTTTCTTTGCTGCCGCTGCGATCTGGGCCTGAAGTTTTTCTAACTGAGCCTTTTGGATTAGAATAAGGATTGAGTGTCAGAATTGAAAGGTAAATGTAAAGGTAAAAAATTGCTGTATTGGAAACTGATTTTTTTTTTATGAAATTAGTTCATGTGCGAGACCTACCTTTGCGCGGATTTTTTGCGCAATTTGCTGAAATTTTCCTTTCTCGTGGAACTTGAATGCCCGTTTTGTTCGTGTGTTTGGTTTTGCGCTAAATATACAATGAAGCATTTTAATAAAATACAGACTATTGGTATAGATTAATAGAGTGCATTAAATTTACAACCCATAGTTAAATAAGTAGGTTATATTAACCTACCTAACTCTAGTATCAAAGAATGTCTTGTCAGCAAAATCGTCAGTTGGTTTTTCGACTCTGAGAAACGCTTCACGTTTCTTTGCTCGGATGTTTGCTTTCAGCGTCGGCATGCGGCTCATCATGCTAACAGCTTTTCCGCTTGAGTCGATGGCTCTGCCCTTGTCGTCGAGAATTAACGCCGATGGTTTGTCGCTGATGTCTGGCAGATTGATCGCTCCCGATTTAAGGCTTGTACTTGTGGTACCCATGGAAGTAAACTTAAGAAAAAAATATTATGGAATTTTACTAGCTAGCACCTACCACTACCTCTCACTTGCTTAGCATGCATCTGATTGGTTGATCGGATATATCAAACACATCTGATTCGTTACAGTCGATTTCAGATAACTTTGACCACAAATGTTTCGAACTTCGTTGCGAAGTTCGCAAGTTCAAAAGTTCATAATGAGATTCACAAACCAGTTTGTAAACCACGCATTTGATTGTCTTCTTTTACTTCAGGGACCAATCAGGGACTTTGTTTACAAATTGGCTTGTGAATTCCGATATGAATTTCCAACTTCACAACGACGGAACATCTGTGGTCAAAGTTTCGTGAAATCGACTGTAATAGTCCATTAATGAATAATGGTAGCAGTAGTGGAAGTCAAATCTGATCGAACCTCTCTATTTCTAACTAGAAGCTTCATTTTTCCAAGTTTATAAAGGAGGATATATGTATTCCAGGGTATGTTTTGTTACCAATATTTAGGGGTGCACCGGATTTGGAATTTTCAAATCCGGCCGGAACCGGATTTACCGGATTTGGACAAAAATTCCGGCCGGAATTGAGATAAACCGGTAATGGGGATAAATCAGTATTCAAAATGACGGTTTATGTTTTTTACTATTTTTAGTTAGTGTCAGTTTAGATTTTTGATTGTGTTTAAACCTTTTTTAAACATCTTTTTGTTAATAACTTAATATTTTATAATAATATAAGTGTTTTTTTAAACTTTAAAGCTGCCATGGCAATTGATGGGTTATCCCATTTTTGGTGAATTTTTTAAGGTGAAAACAGAAATTTAAATCCGGCCGGATTTTCTCCAAATCCGGCCGGAAGCTGGATAATTCGTTAAATCCAGCCGGATTTGAAATCCGGTGCACCCCTACCAATATTCAAGACATTTGTTGAGCATTTTAACTACACTGTACCTGATAAGTGCTTTCTGTATTTTCCTACCTTTGACTGTATTCTGTTGTGTAAATGTGCTGCCTTTCTTGCTTTCTCGATGGCTTCATTCATTAATGCCTGCTGTTCTTCAAGTGATGGGGGTGGCATCGTGTCCTCCTGTTGTTGAAAGGGCAGGACAAATTCAGGGGTTGGTGTGACAGGGGTTGGTGCAACAACAATTGTTTGTTTACGAAGTTTCTCCAACCGCTCCTTTCGTTCTGCTAGCTCTTTCTTTTTCTTTTCCAACATGGCCGATATCTGATTGGCATTCAGTGGTGCTGGCATCTCGACAGGTTCAGGCACTGCTGGGGGTAATGGCTCGTTATCGTCTTGTAATGCTTCAAACCTAGGAGTCAATTTTCATGTTAACAACCACAACTTAAATACAGTGATTTCTGACCTTTTATGACCATTGCACCCTACTTTGTTTAACATTTTACTCTGTCTAACGGCAGATAATTTTACTCATCAAGGGAAGAGCAGTGTCTTTTAAACCCTAACCCCAAGGGAAGAGCACCCAGTCTTTTAAACCCTAACCCCAATTCCAACCTAACCTTAACCATGATCTAAATGTAATTCTAAACATAACACACTATCCTAATCCGATGACTAAAATTGACTGGCATTAGACATAGTAAATACCTAAATGGGTGCATTTGGCACATTGCCTCTTAATGGGTCAACAGACACATTGGTATTTGGTAGATTGTCTGGTTAACCCATTGAGTGGTAGCACTCTCCCTAGCCATCACACATGCCATAATTGGCTCATGAATAATGTATGCTTGACATCCATGTTGACAAAAAAAGTTGACAAAAAAGTCAACAACTCAATGCTTAAGCTGTCTACTTATATAGAAAGTCAGCCACTATTATTGCCATGTCATTTTGGTACATTAAGACTACGTTCACACCAGACAAATTCAAGAATCGTTCAATTTCTTCATACAGGAATTCATGCGGTTAACTGTGCTTGAATTTTGTCCGGTTCCATATATCCATTGTGGTTATCCATTAACTGTCATGCAAATTTGTATATGGTATGGAATTCACAATTGTCTCTGTGAATCGAGCCTGGTTAGAGTGCAGTGTGATGGACTGCAACAAACTGTTGACAGGTTGGGGTACAGCACATAAACCTGCAAGTATGTTGTTTACACAGGGCACAGAGGTCCAATTCCTATAGCCAAAAACCTGTAACCACCACGCCATGTATTCACAATCGCAAAGCACCAGCAACGCTGTCGCCGTGTTCCTAGCCAGTGCACTAATGAGAGTCACTCACCCTCCTGAACTTCTAAGCCAAGCTGGCCATTGTGAATACTTTCAGGAAGGCGATGGTATCTGCTTAGCACATTGGCTAGGCACATGGTGGCCAGGGTGCATTCTAAGTGCAATTCACTGAAGATCTTCGGCATGAGTTTGGCACATTACAATACTATCTCTCTATAGTTAGGAATGCACCCTGGCATGGTGGTCTGTTATGCTAACGCCAACATAAAGTTGGACTTCTGTAAGTGTCTATTCAGTGGCCAGGGTCATTCTCGTACCCAGAGCCCTTCTTACGTGCGGTGCGATGAGGGGCTCTGGATTATGGATTTGGCCAGAGCCCCTCGTCGCACCGCGCGTAAGAAGGGCTCTGGGTACGAGAATGTGGCCAGGGTGCTAAATGTAAAGTCACTCAACCTAGTCTTTTTTCGTTTTTTAAGGGTCTCTGACTCGTCCCTAGTTTCCTCGTCATTGTCGCGGCTGTCACCAAAAACATCTTCCAGAGTCCGTTTTTTATTCGAACTGCTCCGATTCAACGATTTCGGCCGACGGATCCGATCTAACTTTGAAAACAAATCATCCACAAATCTGGGTGCTAGATCGTCTAGTAATGAAGTTAATTCTTTGGAAGCTGAATCTCTGTCGAGGTTATTTTGCAAGCACTGTAGAGCCGCATTAACTACAGACTTTTCCGAGTAGCCAAGTCGCTTTTTAACTGTGTCTTTTAACCAGGGTTTAATCTCATCGACCTCCTTACGACTCAAGGCCATTCTTTAGAAAAAGACTTGCACACAAGTAAAATATCAAGGATAAATTCCCATACAATAGCCGAATAGCGAAAATATTTCTGTCACTCTTTCAAAGTTTACAATTTGAAAACGTACAACGTGCGTTTTTATAGCGTGTTTCCATTTGCAAATTTCCTCTCATTTCCTGTTGAAATTTCCTTTTTTCGATGTGCGCGCACATATATTGCTGTCACCTCCCGCTGTACTGATGTTATCTCTCACAGTGGGCTCAGATAAGAAAAATGGCGGGAAAAACCATTCGGTCCAGGAACATCAGTTCGCGCGAACTGCAAAATATCAACAGAATTTTGCTAAATTTTATGCTAGATTCTATAAATTCGAAAGTCTGAAAGATTTTTAAAACGTTTCACCGGTTGCATTCCGTTTTGAGGCTAAACGAAGTAAAGGTCAGATGGGTATTCACGGTTTGACAAAACTTCTTGGTGATTGTGCGCCTTCTTGCATGAAAGAAAATGAGATAAAGAATTATTTTGGTAGGAGGACATTTTGATACTTTTAGCTGTTTATATGTTGTTATTATATGTGATATTGTGATAGTACAGAGTATAGGGAAGAGCAAAAATTCAAGAAATAGGGAAAGGGTTATAATGTAGCAATGGAAGAAATGGGAAGAAATTCTGGTATTCTAATTGTTTCTTATCTTTCAATCGTGCCATGTTCATTATAGTATTTTATTAAATAGATATGTAATTTATATTGTGACGAAGTTTATAAAAAAAATTTTAAAAAATGTGATCAGCTGTTGTTTGTTTGTTTGTTTGTTTGTTTGTTTGTTTGTTTGTTTGTTTGTTTGTTTGTTTTTTTTTTTTTTGGAGGGGGGCAAACCGTGAATGAAGTAAATACAGTGGAACCCTGAATTTTGACCACCCTGGTAATATGTTCACCTCTTTATTATGGCCATTTTATATTTTTGAAGTGTCTATTCAGCCGGCAGACGGTTATTTAGATAATGACTATAGTTACATATAAAAACATTTGTTTGCACTAGTTTTACCGAGCTTGCCGTTAGTGCATACGGCAGGGGCGCTGCGTGCGGAAAGGGAAACCCAGCCGGGGTCGGTTTGTGTTTTTAACGTTTGACTTAGCATATTTTTTTCTTAAATTTTTTTCAACTTTTTTTCTGCCTTTTTAACTCTCAAAAGGTTGGGTTAGGGTTAGAGGAGGGTTTGGGGTTAGGGAACGGTTTATCTTATAAAAATTCAACTTTAATTATAGTCACTATATAGCCGGCAGTTTACTAAATAGCCGGCTATATAGACACTTCGTTATATTTTTCTCCCCGAAAATTTTATATAAATTTCCACTTGATAATTTCCATCTATGAGACCCTTCAAATCGTATTGAATTGATTCAGATACCAGCAAAATCTCGATTCTTAAAGATACCCTGTTAATACTGCCACCCCAAGAATATGGGTCAAATTTCTTTACAGTAATATGTGTAACATAAGCAGAACCTTCGAGCAGAGGCCAGTTAAGGTAATTCTGCAGTAATTGTTCCCGAAATGAGAATGTGCTAAAACTTCCCAGGCATGGAGTTTATGATATATTTAAAGTAAAATCACACAAAAAAGTCGGGGTCACCGAACACGTTAAGAAGATATGACAATCACAATATACCACCTTTACCCCAATATGGCGCCATCTTGATGCTCATTACGAGCAGGGTGTTAGCCAGAAGTAAAAAAAAAATCTGCGTTTACTTGAAATTGGGAAATTTATTTTAGCCTGAAGTCGGGCATTTCTTTGTGGGTCTGGGGCCCCCTCTCGATTTTTAAAATTTTTGTGTCTTTGAAATGGCATTTCGAAGTAATTTTGGGAGTAATTTTGAGCAAATGTAGTTATAAACATGTTTTTAATGGCGTATTAACAACATTCAATTTCTATAACTCTTTTTTGGCTGAGCAAAATTGGGAAATTTGCGACCTCAAGCTAATTGGGAAAACCGTGTTTAACATGGAATTTTTGACTGTAGCTAAGTACCCTGATGAGTAACAGCAAAATCACAACAGCCCGATATTTATTGACGTTTTTAGCGCGGATTTTTCTTTAGTAAACCTAACTTGTAATTATTTTTGAAAAAATATTGTGTTTTGAGCAAAATGAAACTAATAACGTGTACAATTCTGATCCACAAATCTCTTTTCCACATTTCTTTACATATCTTTCTTTGAGAATATGCATTGATAAAGGATTTTTTTTCAAGATCCAGAAATGATTTTTCTTTTAATTTCGGATATGAAATGTAAAATATTAAAGAATTAAATTATTAGTCAAAAACCGGGGGTCATCGATCGTTTTAGGGAATTGTGGCATTAAAACGTGAAATACAAGTAAATAAATATACTACAGACACAGGGAACCCTAGCTACACTTTTGTATGCCTTTTTTGAAAACATTGATTTTAACGTAATTCTTTGCACGAATGTAACCAAAGATGTTTTGAAGTAACATAAAATTGTCATAAAATGTTTTTTTTAAACGGTACGTATAATGGATGAAATTATAAGTTATAAGATGTGCGTAGTAAAATTGCAAAACTGCGGAATTACCTTAAAGTCCTACAGGTTGTCCTTCACATTGCAACAATATTTTTGTTGACACGAAACTCTTTTGCCTTATGTTTGTTAACCCATTTACTGGCAGTACTCTACCACTGACAAGTAAAACCGTCTGGCATTAAACAGAGTAAATACTAAACTAGGGTGCATTTGCATTCACATTGCCAGTCAATGGGTTAAACCCTTTCACTTGAGTTTAACATTCTTTCGTTTAACCTCCCTTCAGGTCGAAAGGTTGCCATTGATGCATCGATGAGCATTTATCAGTTTCTTATCGCAGTCCGAAGTGATGGAAGTCAACTGACAAACGAGGCAGGAGAGGTTACAAGGTGTAATATAACTTCAGACTTTATTGTAGGTGTATAGAAGGGAAAAAATTAGGGGGACAGACAAAAATTGCATGAAGTGGATGGAGATTGCCAATTTTTAAGTAGAATTGCCTGACTAGCTCCCCCCAGCCCTCCCCCTCATACACCTATGGACTATATAGAATCTATTATACTTTACATGTTTCAGCTTAGAATGTGAAATTGTGTCTGTGTTGTTTATCAAGTTAAAAATATTCTTGTTTTCTGTTAACAGCCATATTATGGGCATTTTTTATCGAACAATAAGAATGGTGGAAAATGGTATTAAACCAGTGTAAGTTCACTGTTGTGATGTTATTTAATGGCAAACTACTATCGCGTGAATGCTTTTCTTTTGTTACCTTCCCCCCTGTTATTCCTCCTTTCAAATCTCACCCACCTCTCTTCCACCCACTAACCCTTCCCATTCCTCTCCTCCCTATGCTAAACTTTTACCCAGATTTCTTTCCTCCCCTGACCACTCTTCTTTTACCTGCTCACATTTTCCCTCCCTCTATCTTGTTTCCCCATTCTCCCGCACCCCACCACCCACCCTACCTACCCCTCTCCAAACTCTCTCCCATGCTGCTAGTCTTTTTTCCTAACATCTTCTCCATTCTTCCCCCCACCCCCATTTTCCTTCCTCTCTTCCCCCACCTCTTCCCCCACCTCTTCCCCCC